CCTAAAACATCTGGAACAGCATCCCTCAAACATCTGGATCAGCATGCTTCTAACATCTGGAACAGCATCCCTCTAACATCTGGATCAGCATCCCTAAAACATCTGGAACAGCATCCCTCAAACATCTGGATCAGCATGCCTCTAACATCTGGATCAGCATGCTTCTAACAACTGGATCAGCATGCTTCTAACAACTGGATCAGCATGCCTCTAATATCCAGATCGGCATCCCTCTAACATCTGGATCAGCATCCTTTAAACATCTTGAACAGCATCCCTGAAACATCTGGATCAGCATCCCTCTAACATCTGGACCAGCATCTATGTAACATCTGGACTAGCATGCCTCTAACATCTGGACCAGCTTGCCTCTAACTATCAGACAATCATCCACTTTTAACACATTTAGAACTCAGTTAAAAAACTGGTTAAAATCAAATCAACAATCTTACCAGGTCCTTGTGGAGGACTGAACCTAATGTCAGGATCAGATGTTACTTTGTAAATATCTGTACATATTATTGCTAATATGTCTGCCTGGATTTTAGGACCTGTCCTTGTTAATATGTAGCCTCCATTTGTTACATTTTCTAAATGTGATTTTTATTCTTTTTTTTAATTGTTGTTGGTATTGTAGACGTTGCCAAGGGACAACAGCCGAAAATAGCCTCATAGCTAATACTGACACAGAAATGTTCATCAATGTGCACAAATAAAAAAATAAAATAGAAACCACATTAGCATCCAGGACTCACAGTGTCTGGGGCGTATCGGCCATAAATCATCAGAATGTTGTCTTTCAGTTCTTTGGGCTCCTGGACGAGGCTGACACAACCATGGAGGTCGGACCTGAGCCGTTCAAGAAGTGTCTGCAGGTTCTTCACCTGCACAGAATGTTGTTAATGATAGACTTCCTGTCAGTCTGAGGCTGACAGTCAGAAATGAGAGATATATTTTCATATTTTGACGTCCTAAGGTCAGACAGCAGGAGCTGGGCTCAGCTTCAGGATGGAGCTCTGTCTTCATCAAACCACGGTTTGTGGTTTCAGCCAGAAAACAAACATGCTCTGTGTAGATCTGCTGACCTTCTGCAGCTCCTTCTGCACCTCTTTGTCTTTGGTCTTCAGCTTCAGCCTCAGGTCCGAGGTGGTGAGCTTCAGTTGAGTGTTGCTCTTGGTGATCCCAGCCACCTCCTCTTCCAGCTGTTGGACAGATATAATCGGTCATCACTAAGTGAACAGAGAGAAACATTTCATCATGATCACAGCTTTGATGAGAACATCCTCACCATCTATGATCTCATCGGGTCCAACATCATGGACAGGCGTGTTTCAGACTAGAGATTTTTGACCCCTAGAAAAACTGTTTTAACGTTTAGCTCTGCTGAGACCCAGCAGATCATCAGAACCAAACCCACCAACAGGTAAATAAACATTTTACAGATGTTGGGAACATCACGGGAGCCTGTTTCAATTCTATTCAGTTTATTTCTATAGCTCCAATTCACATCATGACAGCTCAGGTCACTTTCCAGTTCACCAGATCATCAAGTTAGATCGATTAAAAGTTTTCTATCTAAGGAAAACCAGCTGATTGCATCGACTCATTGACTCTTCAGCAATCCCTCACACTAAGCATGCTTTATTAAATCATCAGTGAAGGAGCTTAACAGATGGAGCTGATAAAAATGAAAACTTTCTAGTTTGGTGAACATTTTTCACCACAGTAGTTCTACCTAGCTTTCCAGCCTGGCCCCTGACTTACAAGGACAACTGATTCATTGATTGAAAAGATTTATAATAATTATAAAATAATATACTAAGAAAATAAAAGCGGAATTAAAGCAATTAAAAGTAAAGACACAATAAAAGCAGGTAGTAAAACAAATCAAACAGTTGGACCAATGATCCTCAGTTAACAGTTTAACTCCATCAGTCAAAGGCAGCTCTAAACTAATGACTTCAAAGATCTATGGCTTTCAGCTCTGTTCCAGTCTGCTGGGAGTTTATTCCAGATCCATGGAGCATAGATGCTGCTGTGAGTTTGTTCCAGATCCGTGGAGCATAGATGCTGCTGTGAGTTTGTTCCAGATCCGTGGAGCATAGATGCTGCTGTGAGTTTGTTCCAGATCTGTGTAGAATAGATGCTGCAGGGAGTTTGTTTGAGATCCATGGGGTATAGATAGTGCTGGGGGTTTGTTCCAGATCTGTGTAGAATAGATGCTGCAGGGAGTTTGTTTGAGATCCATGGGGTATAGATAGTGCTGGGGGTTTGTTCCAGATCCGTGGAGCATAGATGCTGCTGGGAGTTTGTTCCAGATCCGTGGAG